ACACACACACACACACACACTCACACACACACAGACACACAGACACACATGCACACATGCACACAGACACACACTCACTCACACACACACAGACACACATGCACACACACACAGAGACACACACACACACACACACACAAAACTAATGAATTTAAAATTTCACACACACACACACACACACACACACACACAGACACACAGACACACATGCACACACACACACAGACACACACTCACTCACACACACACAGACACACATGCACACACACACAGAGACACACACACACACACACACACAAAACTAATGAATTTAAAATTTTTAAGAAAATTAAGAGATGATTAATAAGCACATTTTTATATTTAAATATAAAACAAAAAAGGAAAGATAGAAAAATCCTGCCCTCACAATGCTCTGAAAATATTAAACATTATATGTGTATTAGCTATTGCTGTCTGGATTCTTGAAGTATTTTTATCTAAATTGGACTCAATCATGAGCTTTAAGACAATGAAAACAGCAGCAAGTTTTAATTACATGCAGGGCTCTAATTTAGTAAGTATAAAATGATGGAAGGACAGGCAGCAATACTGGTGTTTTCTAAAACAGATACCTTCTTTAATGCTGTAAATTGTGTGTGATTTTATTTTACATCTTCAGTTTTGTTTGCTTGGAATTTCACACAGAAACAAGACATAAATACACTCAAGAAAAAAATTTGCTGGAAATAAAGGCAGTAGCAACACTGAGCAAATATAAACAAATATGGTAAGCACACCTACACAGAATCAGCACAGGCTATTTTTAGCCAAAACCCCAAAACCACCATGGCATTTTTATGGCTTATGACTGAAGAGGACCTTTCAAACCAGTGTCCCCAATTTGAACAGAAAGTCACTTCAGGGTTGATAAAAGATGATAATATAATGTAATACCAATATGTCAGCATCATAAAACTTAGAAGAAACTTCATCAAACTGTTCCTTCTTGGTAGTACATTCATAAACATTTCACTTTTTAAAAGATGGAGTACAGTTATTTATATGTATTTATTTTCTCATTTGTATTGCCTGTGGATATTATTCCTACATTACCTTCATATGCTTCTATACTGATGGTATTGCAGATTATAAACTTCCTCAAGCTAGGAATTACAATTTTTTTATGATTACATATGGACCCAATATGTTCCCCTAAAGCAACAAAAAAGTGAAGATAAAGCCCCAACAACAAGGCACACAATACTTCAGAGACCAAATGAGCAATTGTTCAAAAGATAAAAGATATGATCAAAAATCACCATGGAAGCTGCCAGTAGAAAGCTGTGAAGAAGCATGATTTACACAAAGCATAGAGATTTCCAAGTACTGGGGAAGGGACTTGTAAACAATTGAAAACTGCTCTCCTGATGCCACAAACTGAGGAATAGTGAGTAAATTCCTGGTGGATTTCTTAGAAAAACAGTTTAATATTTGTTTACCAAAATAAGAATTTTCTTAATTCTTCTTCATACACATTTTAATTTGTTTAATTTAAAATTAATTTAATTTATATATACTATGTATATATAAACTTACATGGAGCAGTCTTTTAAGCACAGATTTAGCACTGAAGTAACATTTACTAAACCATTGAATTTTTGCAATTACATATACGATGTAAGGCTCATTTATTGATAATAGCAAATACTATTGGGCTGGTAATAAGCACCGTGTTATAGGCCTTGTAGACATCACTATCTGCTTTCCAACATATTAGCTGTAGCATCGTCTTTATGGGTCTAGGGACCTCCAGAGCTGACCTCTGAATTATCACAGTGCAGTCAGGGTTCTGTGGGGTGCTGTTATCACTGATATCCCTCACACTGTAGCACATATGAAGAGTTCATTCTTTCTAATACTTCTAAACCAGTGGCTCTAAGCCATGGCTTCTCAATGAGGGCTTGGAATATTAAGGTGGAGGGAGAACTTGGTCAATGTATGATCACAGAGGGCCCCTATGCACCTACACCGAGAGGGGTCAAGTCCTCCCTCAAAGGAGAAAGCATCACAGATGGCCAACGACACAGAGCAGCACTGATCACACAGCATCATTACCATTTCTGTCTCTGCTCGCCACACCAGTCTCCATCTAGTTCTCATGGTGCCCAATAACACAAAGTTATTAAAACACGGAACATTTCTAGGAAATCATATCGAGGGTGGCTATATTTGGAATCTAACCTAAGTTCTTGTATTCAGTCATAAATGGGCCTCCCCTGGTTTACTGTTCTAGGTCTTTTTAGCAGTTAGGCTTCATTTCTGGATGATTAGACATTCTTTGCAATCTTCATTTATTTCTCCTCAGATGATTCATCTGAAAACATCACTTCTTTGTCAGCATTTTTGTATAGAAGCCAGCCTGAGATATTTACCCACACAGAACTTCCTACCATACTGGGCTCGGGTGAGTCTCCTTCATACACCTCTGGGGACACTTAAACTACAAGTCAATGCCACCAGGGCCAACTGAAAGAACCTTTACAAAAATAGATGAACGATCATTTGTCTTGTTTACCAATGAAACTGTAGTGTGGAAAAAAAAAAACAAATTTGGTCTTTAAAAATAGTAGGAGAATGGAGAACTTCATCTGAGAGACTAAGGGCGGGAGCAGAACCTCTCAGAAAAAAAGGTCTGTGTTGCCATGGCATTTTCAACCAGGTATTGTGACATCCTATCAAATCAAGGGGCCTCTGGCTGCTTTTCCAGCTCGGACCCCACCCAGGAATATTTCTTCATTTGTGTCTTTTACCCTACAAAATCTACAAACAGGAAGGGAAAAGAACAGAGACGCCACCGTGCTCACTAACTTTCCTGAATGCTGATTCTGAGGCCACTGGAGTAAGAGAACTACAACTCCCACCGGTCCCGACGCTGTGTTATCTTTTGTAGCTGCGCAGTGGCTAGAAGCAGTTACTTATTCTTCAGCATCCTTGGGCCCTCATTACCTTTAGTGGCAATTCTGCACAAGCTAACCTTCTTCACCTTTGGGAGGAATTCTGAGCACTTGGAAGGTTTGGGCTTGACAAAGGCATCCAAAAGTACCAGTCGGGTAAAAGTCAAGAGTCTCGACGGGTGTAAAGATTCTTGGCTCTGGAATCTTGGTGACGAGCTTGGTCACTGAGTGGCCAGAGGAATATAAAGCATCAGAGGGGAAGCCTGTTCTCTTGGCTATAGCTTGCCAAAGCAGACTTACCATGATGAAAGAACAGTGGAAACCATAAGGGAGAAAGACACGAGCAGAACGGAAGCAATACAGATCATGGAGCGACAAAAACGATACTCTTGGGTACCCGAGAAAGAGAGGAAACAGATGGAAAGGCAAGCACACGGCACCGGCCAGGCCAGAGAGTTTAAGAACAAAATGTGTAGATTTTTCCCCAGTGAGCGGCTACCAAGAATTGTGCACGATGGCCAGACAACACAGAAAAGACAGCAAGTCAAAAAGAGGGAGCTGGTACAGATCAAAGACCACCAGGAGCGCATGCTTCGAGGCAGGGAACTGATAGATCAAAGGCTCAAGGAAAGACTCTTGAGAAGAGGCCAGGGCCAGCTCCCTTCACTAGAGAAGCTGGAGCGAGTGAAGAAGGAGATGAAGGACTTTGAGAGGGCTAACAAACACCCGCTTTTGGAGCTGCGCAATAAAAATCTCATTAAGTTGGAAAGTATTATCGAGAAGTCTCGGGCACGAGAGGAAGTGAAAACGGTAAAGCCCCACCAAAAGAAATTCCTGTCACCCTATTTGAAAAGTCATTTCCGAAAAATCAAAGACCAGTAAAATTTCAGTGCTTTTTGTGAAACAAACAAACAAACAAACAAAAGTACTGGGAATTAATAAAGACTTTTAGTAGTACTGTGTCATGGGGAAACTATAGAGTTAGAAACTGACACCCCATCTTCCTAATGAAAGAGCTAGAAGGGAAGAGAGATGGCTCAGTGGTTAAGAGCACTTGCTGCTCTTGCAGAGGACCCAGGTTTAGTTCCCAGCACCCACATGGCAGCTCACAACAATCTGTGACTCTGGTTCCAGGGGATGACACTCTGTTTTGGCCTCCACCAGGCACCAAGTATTCTAGTGAACAGACATGTACAGGCAAAACCCTCATACACATAAAATATCTTTTTATTTTGTTTTAAAAATGAGTTTAAAACTAACTTTATTCTCCATATTCTGCTTTTCTTTTCAGAAAGATTCTTAAAAGTCAAAGCAGAAACCATCCTTCATAGTCTCCTACATGCTGGAATTATGCATAGAACAACAAAAACAAAACAGTCAAGGGAAAAGATTACCTATGTAAGTGGATTCAGGGAGATAAAATTTCAAGTATAAAATACAAATTCACAAAATGCTTTAAGAACAAAGGAAAGGCCAAAAGAAAGATATTTCTCCTCTGTCGATTTAATAAATTACAGGCTGGCATGAAAAATTCAGAATCTGAAGTTGGGAACAAATCCTATGAAAATAGTCTTTAAAATGTAAATAATGTGATTATAATATGAATATATTTCAGATTCATTTCAACTAATCAAACATGTACATGAGCCAATCATATTCCTTTGGCCAATTTTACAAAGGAAGCTGGGGAGGTGGGCCGGGTAAACAGAAGGGCAGTGGCTATTTGTCAAAAGAGGCAACTATTTGCTATCATGCCCCCAGGCAAAAGACCACCCAAAGATATGTTCACTGGGGAAAGCTGAGGCAATCAAAGCGAAGTCAACTGTACCAACACAAACAATGCTCTTTCCAGAAGAATTTATTTACAAAATAAACCAAAACTTGTACTGTGAGACCCCTTTCTACAGCCGAGTATCACAATGATTTTACTTTGATTAGAAAACCATTAAGTAGCAATCCTTTGCTTCTCTGTGGCTCCACTATAGAGAATGCAAATGACCATTTTTAACATGTAGGGAATTGGAAATATCTTCTGAAAAAATTACCACAGGAAAAATTTAAACTTTTTAACAGACCTCCCCTGTGGCAGTAGGCTAAGAGTTTCCCATATCATGTGGCCCTTTGGCCTCACTTCGTTACTACTGCTCTGCACAGGACACTGGTAAAGTTCTAGAAGTTTTCACCAAAGAATAGGCTTTGTTTTAAAGAACTTAACCTCTTGCATGAAACAAATGACATAGATTTCCTCAATGGGGAGCCTAGTTAAGAATTTTAATAAATATTGAAAAAGCTATAAGAGATAAGTTATAGTATGAGGTATTCCTCAAAATGGGACAAGACAATAAAAAAATGGACTAAAAAAATCCTGCATTTTCTTGAAAACTAGTTAAATTCCAGGGACAGCTTAAGATATGACATTTTAAATACTGAATAACTGAAGAATTTTAATTTTAGTCAAAGAAATCAAGTGAATTGAATGCAAAGTTCCTTGAAGCAAAACCTCAAGTCTGACAATTAATTTTCAAGAGTACTTTTATATAGTTAATCTCCACAAAAAATCTTTTCTGCTAAAATATGTGGAGGAAAAAAACTATGCAAGAGTTGCTGGTCTTTCTCTCTCTTGTGGACCACTGTATTTATTTGGGAGTAGATCTTCAAGAAAGAATAAAAACAGATCTTAAAATTTTAGGCAGTAAGGTAAGATTAAAAAACAAACAAACAAACAAAAAACAGTATTTTAATAGAAGATAAACCACTGACTTTCTGACCAGATGATAAATAAAGGACTGACATGAAAATAGCCAAACCGGGCTGGAGAGATGGCTCAGCTGTTAAAGGCTAGGCTCACAACCAAAAATGTAAGAAAATAGCCAAACCATTCTTACAATTCAATGAGAAAAACTTCAACTAAGTAGAGGCCATAGGGCCTCATTAGAAGAGACATATATGAAGTCTTTTGTGACGGTGACCTTTAGTCTCAGCACTTGGGACCTTTAGTCCCAGCAGAAGCAGTCAGACCTCTGTGGATTTGAAAGGAAAGCCTCATCTACAAGTTGTGGGTTAGCCAGGGCTACATAGGAAGGCTGACTCAATAAAAGAAAAAAAAAAAAGGATGCACAGATGACAAATACATACATGAAAACATGGTCAGCAATTGCTATTAGGCACGTGAATGACAAGATCCTGTCATTTATAGCAACTTGGGTGGAAGTGAAGACACTGAGTGAAATAAACCAGGTGGGGAAAACAGGAGGCACTGCATACTTCCATCTATACAGAATATAAACAGGCTTAGTTCAGAGAACAGGTGAGCAGGAAGAACAGCGGCTGCTAGAGGCCAGAGGGGAAAACAGAGGGCAATAAGGAAAAGTGGATGCAGGGGTGCAAACTATGGCCAGACAGGATAACTGTTTTGTTTAATGCACCATGGTTCCTTATAGTTAACATACAGTGTTAATGGATCCAACAAAGCTGGCCCTTTTCCAATGTCTTCCTCAGATGCAAGGCAGTTTTAAATGATGGATAACTGAAGGATACAGAGAAGATCAATATACAAAGTACTAATGCATCCAACACCAGGCTCTGATGCAGAAACAATTATCAATAAACCTTTACAATATATGCTTGCTATGCAATACAGCAGTCAAATTTCTTGGCATTTACCATAAGGAATATAAAGCTTAAAAGTATCTACCCACATGTCAATATAATGGAGGCATTTTCTATTGATAATCCCTTTTCCCAGATTAAAACAGCTTGTGTCAAGTTGACTAGCCAGCACACACAAAAATATGCTCAAGTATGACTAAAACTATAAGACTCTGGAAAGGCAAAGGTATGTAGAAATTAAACACCGACTGCTAAGAATTCAGAGGGGAAGAAAGTGTCTAAGTGGAACCCAGATATTGTTAAAGCAAAACTATCTATACTATACTCTCATCATGGACACATCATCACTACAGACAAGTAGCAGAAAGTGAACTGGAGTCCAACTCCTAATGCACACTGTGTGGCTTTAAATAATGATGATAAATACTGGCTCACCAACTGTAACTGGCCGTGGAGGAGGGGACAATGGAGGATGAAGTACAGGGGCAGAGTTTTTCTGTAACATAAAACAGTACTAATAACTCGTCTATAAAAGCAAAATTTGAGTAATATAATGAGTGTATATAAAAAGTGACTTCATATGAGATTAGGAAAGTGAGAATTTGATCTTCAAGATTATAAATATTCTGAGACAAAATAGACTCATAAATGACAAGATTTTCACACAGATCAATATTACATTAATTAGACTGACAGCTGGGGAGCCTGCATGGGACCGAATCAGCCTAGTCTGTTTGTGGGACCCCTGGCAGTGGGATGGAGGATCTATTCCTTGTTTATTATCTGGCTTTTTGAAGTCCATTCCATATGGTAGGATGCCTTGCCCT